GGCCCCGGTTCTATTGGGTATACCCGGGGCCATCAGGACAGATATGATATATCGCGATGAATAGTCACCCCGTAGTTAGAGGTTGTGCTGCTGCGTCCCTCGTAGCACTCTCGGATCCCTTAGTCGTCCCTTGGAAGCCAACATTGGGACGAGGGACTGGGTACGTCTGTGATAAGATTTTTCAGTCAGTGGAGAGTAATCGCGCGAGTTGCTGGCTTGCTCTCCTACTACTTGGTCATGCCAGGATCATCTACTCCATCCGGCTACCTTTCTGCACTTCAGACCGCGAAGCGAATCCCATCGGCAGGGACGTACTATTTCTTGCAATGCCCAGCTATGTTGATCGCCCCAAAGAACTCATTGCATGTCGCTGGCGACCATCAGTGATATCAGGATTTCATTTGCAGTAACCACTCCCGGGCCCAAACACTGCTAGAAACTATGATCAGGTTGTTGTGAGCCAGCCCTCTTTCGCTGGAACCCAAAGGTCTGTGAGGGGGAGAACCCGCGGGATGCTAGCATAGGGGCGTTGGACAGTGGACACTGGCATGCAGCTTGACATCCGATGCTGCGTACACTTTTCCTTCCCGTCTTCCGGAATCCGAGGTTTTTAATCAGGAGAACATCAATTATTTCCAGGGGAAACGACTCTGAGTTTGTGAAATTGAGCGGTCCACTATATAATACGTATCATGTGTGGTCATTTCATAACTGGATCAATTATATCGTATGTTCCGAAATCGCAATTACCGTTAAGTTGAAGTGAAGAGGATCTAGTATCCCCTCCTTGACTCTTGGGAATAAAGATGATACACGGTTTTCGAAAAAAAAAAAAAAGCACTCGTTCTTTGCTGTTGTGAATAAATACGCGGACCTAGCGCTTGGTTTTCCAGTTCGGGTATGTTGTTTATTTACCTTTAGCCTAATCGGGCAATTCTCAACCTCCCGAGGTCAAGAGCTCAACCTTCACGTCGTTGCCAAAAGATAGATATGATATAACAAAAGAGATACGAAATGCCAGTTTCTTTCTGTTAAAATATGTTTACAAAGAGGAATAAGAATAAGTTTGAGTGCTGCGCATTGACAGCGATTTTCATTCTGCAATAAAGCGTTCCCCCCACTCCAAGCACGACGCTAAGAATCGCGTCCAGCATTGACCGCCCAACAACCAGACGAAGTGTCTAAATTGTTGGCGCCCAAAGGCCCCTTTCAACCAGCCAGTATTATTATTTAGCAAAGGTTAACGCGTCTAGTTTGGGGATTCTTTCACTACTGTTCCCCCCCAGTCCTAAATAGCGGCGTTGTTTTGATTTTGCCAATTGGACGATCTGCTGTCCGCGCGGAAATATATATGTCTCCTGCACCCCAGGTTTTAACGGGTCTTTTGCCTAAATCATAATTCGCTCAGCTTCCTTTGTCCAGTCTGGGCGAGAAAATTCATGGGGAAAAAGAGAGTGCATGCATAGTTGTTAGGGAGCTTTTGTTGTGTGAACTACCTGACATTCTACAGGGCAATTATTACGCGTCACTGTGGTTGAAAGCAAAGGGTGGTGACGGGAGTAAGACTATATATCAATTTCCACTCTTTTGCTGTGGAAATATGAACTAAGAGGCTGGTGCAGGGAGATTGAGATTCGCATTCCTCTATGATTTTGTTTCTTGGTACATGACCCTAAAGCCTTTTGTCCATGTTCCCGTTTATGAACCCCTCCAATTTACTTGCTTTGTTCTCCTAACCAATATCAGATTTACTAATTTCTACAATACCAGACCCAATAAAAAACCATTAAGTGTCACGGAACAGGCGCAGGTGTCAGTTCCAGTCACGGAAGGGTACCATGGCCGCTAAAAATAATTGCCCGGCCAGCAGGCGAAATCACAGTCCATATTCTCCAGCACCGGCGGAGAGCAATAGCAGGCAGACAGGAAATGCTGCAGGAAGCATTATCTCATCACGACCAGTTCTCATGGAACCGCGAACACCGTCGAGAAAAGCGAAGGTTGCGAAAAGAGTGCGCTTTTCAGGCCCAGGTCCTCCCGTTGAATCGTTATCCAGTTACATAGATAACAGCCTGTCAACTGGTTTAACCCCAGCGATCAAACGGACGAGGATTGAATCTCAGGACTCCCCATCCTCCAGAGAACGTAATGCCAAAAATCTGCGTCGCCGTCGCTCAGAACCCACTCCGCGGGCAGACAATAATGGATTAAAGTATGAATTGCCGGAGCTGCCATCTGAGACACAAACGTTCCAGTTTTTGCCGTTTAGTGCAATACTTGATCCCAGAGCTAGACGGCGCATTGCGCGGTTTGGGCTTAGTGAAGAGATGAATTACATTATGCAGAGGAAAAAGGAGGAAGAGAAAGCGGAAAAGGCCAGAGAAGAGGAGCTGATGAACCTGCGCCGAGAATTAAGCGCCCTAAGAGAAGTGAAAACCGAAGCTCAGGACGACAGCGTACCCCGTACCCCGGAAAGAGTTAGAGAGTTGTCTAGGGCACGACAGAGAATTGAGGAATTGGAGGCGCTCTTGAGGAGGTATGAGGACTCAGCGCGCGCGGATAGTCCATGGATGTCTCAAACTGCAAACGAGGATGAGGAGATGATATTTATCGGTGATGACCTGACAACGATGGACAATGAGATGCTCACCACTTCATCAAGTCCCATTCCTCCTTCCCGCTTTACTCCGAGCCACTTACGCACATCCGACGCGTCGACACAGGTTGCTCTTCAAGACAAAGAGCAGGAGGCAGAGAACAACTCTCTAAATGCGCAACTCCACAATATGAGACAGGAAAAGCGCGCCCTTTTCAGGGAATGGCGCGCGCTTGTTGGCTCCAATGAAGCGGGTGCAAGGGACCGACCCCCACTTGACAGCGCTCTAGACAGTCCAGCTTCCCCACCACCAAACTTTTTGCCTCAAATCGCCACTACTTTACGCAAAGCCCTATCTCAAGAATCTCGAGCTATTAAAGCACTGGAAAATGTAGCGAAAGACCTCTCTGGGCACGGTTTTTATGGTACCAGCGCATCTGAAATACTCGCAAATATGGGTGCCCGATTTCGTCAAGCCAGAATTGCACTCGAACGAGCTGTGCCTGGCGAGACTGCGAATGGAGATCTAACCAATTGGAAGCAAATTATTGACATGCTTGTCCAGAGAATAAACATCTTGGTCCAGGATCTTGCGTCGACCAAGGAACAAGTTTCTGGTTGTGAAAATCGAGAAGCAGCGCTGCGAAATCAGTTTAATATGACATTACATCGCTTGGAACAGGCAAGTAAGAAGAACAAGACACTCGAGGAAGCCAGTGATTCTATGGCAGAAGACCTGATGCACGTTCGGATGAAGATGCAGAAGTTAGAGCAAGACATGAGTGTCTTAGAAACCGACAAGGCCCGCCTCAACAACGCAATTGAAAGATATAGAGCTGATCTCAAGATCCTGGAAGAGCTGAATATGAAGCTCGAAGATGATACTATCTCCTCCATGCAAAAAGTCACCGAGCTTGGACAAGCGAACTCGGCCTTGATGGAGGAAAACGAGCGGTTCAAGCAAAAGATCACTGAGCTCGAACAAAGCGAGGTCGACCAAGGAGCCATCCGTGAAGAGATGCAGAGGTTACTCGAACAGCGCACAGCAGAGCTAACGTCTCTCGAATCGAAGATCGAACAACTAAAATCCGAACACGACCAAGCCATCACTTCCCAGTCAAGCAGCCATGAGAAACAAATGGGCGCAATAAACGTCCGTGTTTCGTTGCTCACCAATGCATTGAATGAGGCCCAATCGGAACTACACACCCTACGTGCGGATAAGACACGCTTGCAGATACGACTAAACTCTCTACAACAGCTATTTTCTCGGGAGACCATTCATGCCGCGAAGGAAAGGGCCAGCGCCACCGTCCAGGAACTCATGGAATGGGAACGAGGAATGTCCGCTTTATACGCTAGCGGTATTGGTAGCCCGCAGAGTCAGAATGGTGGACAGAAAGATAGTCCTGACGGCAATGGCTATCGTAGCATCACGAATGATAATAGGGATGGGTTCGCGGCTATTGGGAGCGAACCGATTACACCTTCTTGCGATAGGTATGTGAATGTGGAGATCCACCGAGGGAAGAAAAGGAGGAGAAGACGCCCGGATTCTGCGATTCATATTGTAGAAGAAGAGGCGGAGGGGGAAGGTGAGGATGGTTTTGAAGATTCCGGTATTGCGGACAGGTCATAGTTAAGGGAACATGGTTACACGCTGCACTGTCAGTTCACGTTCCTTTGTTATTTTATTTGATATCTCATTTGTCTTCTTTTGGGTGTTGGCAGCCATTTCCCCTCTTTCATTATTCCATAATCTACTTTGGTCATCTTGTCATACTATATATGCTGGAATATTTGTATTGGGATTCCTTACAATTCTGTGCTTCTTTCTGTTACTTCTGGATATGTACGCAATGTCAGGATATAGATATCGTACAATATAGTAGCCTTCTTTAATTCGCCAGCGTTCCAGCTGATTATCTCGGGGGTCCATCGTGTCCTTGAATGGCAATAGCAGTAGCAGAGTACAACTTGCGTCAGCGTTCATATAGATGTTCGCCTACTCCATTAACTAGAGGCTATGCAGCCTCAGAAGCTAAACCGTCTGCACATCCAAACAGGACAGCGGATCGCTCTACGACGCACCCTTCGCACCTTGAGACAAAAACAAGATTTAACACCCGGATCTGTCGTGATCGGTCCAGCCAAACATCTTTTGCTCCCGTGGATGGTTTCAACGTTCAAACCTTCAAATAATGGCAATTTAGGTCTCAAGCGAGAATGCCATTCTAGATGCGAATAGGAGCAATGCCCATAGAAGCTGGGATATTTTCACCATGATGTTGCGCATTGTTGCTAAAATTTGATGATCGCCAGTAAACGCAGAAGATAAATGGCTCCCGTCCTGTCTACAATGATGAAATTTGCAGGGTTTATGTGGTCTACACTGTTCAGAAAAATGGGATGCATCATATCCCGTTGCAAGTTGTACCGATCCTCAAAATCAAGCCACCTAGTAATTATCCGATGGGTGAACTATAAGGTGAGTTCACATCCTCTTACCAGTTTGTCGGCTTCTCTTCAGAAGCCATATCAATCCAATCAGTAACCCTTCGAGGAGATAGTGACTAGAAGAATCAGACGGAATCAATAAGCCATGAAGCTTACACCCGTGGCCGGGCATCATCAACGCGACCGTTCAAGGCTTCGATATCTCCAACTGGCAAACATCCGTCCACTTTGCGGGAGCATATGAGTCAGGAGCTCGCTTTGCTATCATCAAGGCATGTCCACAAACCCCCTAATATTCTCGTGCTCACACGCCAAACCAATAAAATAAAATAATATCCCTCTCTAGGCTATCGAAGGTACCCGCTACAAAGACCCGTCCTTCAGCAGCCACTGCACAGGCGCCACAAAGGCTAGCTTTATCCGCGGCGGCTACCACTTCGCGCACCCGGGCTCTACAAACGGCGCGGAACAGGCCAACTATTTCCTCGCCCACGGGGGCGGCTGGAGTGATGACGGCATCACGTTGCCGGGCATGCTCGATATCGAAACCAACCCGAACGGTAACCAGTGCTACGGGCTCAGCGCATCGTCTGGGTCCAGGAATTTGTCGACACGTGCAAGTGCAAGACGGGCCGGTATCCGATGATCTATACGTCGCCGAGCTGGTTGCAGTCTTGCACGGGAGACAGCAGGCGGTTTGCGAGTATGTACATGTCTACTAATGATGACGCGGTGGGCGGAGAGTCCTGGCACGGCGCCTGGTGGTTAGGCGCATACGATCTGGCAGTATACAGATAAATATGAGTTTTGGGGGATGGGGATTTGTTCAATGGGGATGAAGAGGGCCTGCTGAAGTTGACCACTGGTTGAATCTTTTTGGCTGGTCCTTTGGTTTTGTTTGGGTTGTTGAAACTTGTAAAGCCAATGACTGTGAAGGCGTGTAGTAGTGTTTATGCGTCTGTTCGCTGCTGGTTCTGGCGAATAATGGGCTGATGATAATGGAATAACTGTATATATTACAATGATTGTCGAAAACAGCGCCCCTCATGAATAATATTCCACTGTTGCTGCAAACTTATAAGGGCTGGGGAGTAATATATATGTATATTATATATATTCTCCTAGCCTTATGTAGTTTTCCGGTCTCCGCGTATAAGTGCATTTTACATAGTTTGTATATGCGGATAGCATTCTGGGGGAAGGGTTTAACCCCTAGTTATCCATAGGAGGTGAGGTTGCTCTGACATGATCGCGCCTTCAACAAGTGCAACTGTCGCGCGAACGCGACGACCAACATCCATCTACTTGCATTCCCCCAACAACAAACCGTTAGGAGCATTGCATCTATACGCTTGGAGCCGGATAGAAAACTCCTTATCTGGCACGTTTCACTGGGATAAGCGGGTTCCTGTAGCATCTATCAAGGCCGCTCCGCCATGGCGTCATATCCCTTCTCTGCCAGAGATTCTGATATCATCAGCTCATTTACCAGGAAGGCCGACAATGAGAGAACTCATCCTTTCTCAAACCCAATTAAAGCTATATATAGTGTGGTGCAAGTGAAGTGAATAACCGAATGGTTCGTTCGTTATATTTTACACCTCAGGTTTCCCTACATTCTCCAGCAATGTGAGATTTTCGCCACCGATGACCCCAGAAAGAGTCACATAGGTGCCTATATATACACAACTACATATAAAGAGAGAAACATCGCCCTGATAATGCCTGTCAAAGAACATAACTACACCCTCTCCGTCACAGCTGGCCCCAGCTACAACCCCTCAACCCACAAGCCAGTCGCCGTCAACTCCCCCATACCCCACCTCATAGAAACAGAGCACGCAACCATCGACCTCCGCGTACGCATACAAGACTACACTGGTCAGTAGAAACTATCCATTCGACAATCTCCCGCCCTTAAATTAATCACTAAATAAAATCTTTCACGCGCCCTACCTAACTTCTATCCCTCCGCAGGCCTCCCGCCCAACTCCCCGCGCACCTCTCCATACTTCTCCCACCCAACCCGCACAAAAGACCAATACTCCATCGCCGTCTCCTTCGTCCCCAAGCACGCGATTCCCGGCTCGGAACTCGTCTTCGGCAACGATTTCGACCGTCCTATCCGCGACCGGTTGCCGCCGGGCACGAACCAGGCGCTGAGGATCGTTCAGTGGACTATTGACCCCGGTTTGGAGGGGGATGCGTATGCGGATAAGCCATATTTGTATGGGGCGGCGTTGTCGAGTTGGAACTATTTGAGGGTTTGCGGGGTTGCTAAGGAGAGGAAGGGTGGGGATGCGGTGGTGGGTGGAGAGGGGGAAGGAAAGGGAATTGGAAATAGCGAGGAGGAGATCATTGAAGAAGGTGGGGAGGGTAGTGGGCAGGAAATGAGGAGAAAATTAGGTGTTCCTGACGACCCTGCGGGGAGGAGAAAGTTCTTTCTAACTGAGGGGAATCGGGAGCGGTTTGAGTTTGAGGAGGGGAGGCTGTATAAAGCAGATTTTGGGAATGGGTATTTGGGGTTTAATGGTGAGTTTTCTTCTTCGCCTACCGCCTCTTCTTCTTGTTTATTGGACTGATGAGAGCATTGATGATGGTACATATAATAGATTTCTCCCTCCGTCTTCCCGGGTTTAAAATTAAGGTGACTAAATACATCGATGCGAAGAACCATCAGCTGCGCTATGTGCTGAAGAATAAGCGCACGGGGGATGTATATTTTGTAGTGTTGTTCACGTTACTTTTGGGTCGGGGGAGCGTGGAGGATGATTGGGATGATGAAAACGCCAATGATGCCGACGATGTGGATGAGGACAACGGTGAGAATACGGAAGGTAGCGATGATAGAAGGTATTATGACGACGACGAGGGTGTCGATTGATTTTTGCTGTGAATATTTTGAAATGATGTTTTTTCGACGCGTGAGGTGGTCGCCATTGTTAGCAGGCCGCCCCTTTAGATCGTTTGCTTACTCTAATAGTTTTTAACATACATTGCGTCGGAAATTGGGATTGGAATTTTGGGAGTACATACCGGCTCAAGCGGTTCGATATCTCTAGGATGATAAGGCGATTTTAATATATGGATGGTGTTGTGCCGGTGGCTGGAGAAGACAAGCATCGATTAATCTTGAAATCTATCTATTTTGAATAACAATAAGTACCCATTGGCCCATCGTTTGTGCGCCTTTTTGCTTCTAACTCCCTTCCACCCTTCTACGGCCCAAGGGGTTTACACACCCACATAAATTTACCTGGCTCTCACAACCTCCTCAGCACATCCGCAACGACCTCGTCCGTCTTCGCCTTGCCCCCCAAATCGGGCGACAAAAACTTCCCCTCATCCAAATTCGCATCAACCGCCTTGTAAATGATAGCAGCAGCCTTCTCCTCGCCCAAAAACTCCAACATAAGCGCCACGCTCCTCAGCGTTGCGATCGGGTTCGCAATGCCTTTGCCCTCAATGTCCGGGGCAGAACCATGGCACGGCTCGCCGATGGCAAAGTTGTCACTGACGTTGGCGCTGGGTACGAGGCCCAGTGAACCGACTAGCGCCGCGGCACCGTCAGAGAGGATGTCGCCGTAGAGATTTGGCGCGACGATGACGTCGTAGTAGGATGGTTGGCGGAAGAGTTTGTATACCATTGAATCGACGATTTGTTCCTCAACAGCGACGGTGTCGATGAAGAGAGGTTGGGCGAGTGCGCGGCGTGCCGTCTCGCGGAAGAGGCCGTCGGTTTGGCTGAGAACGTTGGACTTGTGGGTGATGGTGACCATGGGTTTGGACCTGGTGTTCACGTTGTCGCTGGCGGCGGCGGTGTCGCGAATCTTTTGTCTGCGCAGGGCGATGTTGCCGGCCATGGTGGCGATGCGGAAGGAGGCATGCTCTGAGATCCGCTTGATGGCCTCGGCGACCTTTCCGTTGGGGGAGTCATAGGTTTTCTCGTCTTTGACGTAGAGGTCCTCGGTATTTTCGCGGACTATGACGAGGTCGATGGGGTTGGAGCCGGAGGAGCCCGTGGTGGTGCGGACAGGGCGCACGTTTGCGTATAGATCTAGTTTCTTGCGGAGGGCGACGATTGGGGAGGAATAGCCCGCGACTTTTGTGCTAGGGGAGCTGGAGGTTTTCATGAGCATACGGTTCTCACAAGTCGGAGGTATTCATAGATAAGCTAGATAACTACCTGACAGCCCCGAACAGCGCACCGTCACATTCCTTCTTGAGGATCTCGACGGTTTTATCAGGGAGGGCGGTCCCCGTCTTCTTGAAGGTATTATAGCCCGCCTCGAGGTCGACAAAGGAGAAGTTTAAACCCAGAGACGCAGGTAAGGATTCAAGGAGTTTGCGACCAGCCTGTTATTATAACTTCGCTCAGTATTTTAAATCTTCAATAGATGTTTTTTTTCTTTCTCTCTCTTTTGGAGTTCATATCGAGTCATCGTAGCAAGGATATTGGATCAGCATACCGGGATGACTTCCCTCCCAATCCCGTCACCGGGGATGAGGCCTATATAAATTTGTTAGTAGCAGTAAACATCAACGGAGGGGTGTATAGAAGGCAATTGACCTATTCTCAGTGTTCTGGCAGCCATCGTGGTAGAGCTATTGCTGGTGGAAAAGTAAATCTTTCCTCTCTATCTCAAACTCAAACCGAAATCTTGGAAAAACATTCGCAGCTTCCGGTCTCGGAGCCAAGACCGCTTATGTAATGTGACCTCGGCCAAATTTAAGGTTTGGTTTGTGAACATCCCTGTGTTTATGTTTTTCCTGATTGGGCGATATAGTTTGGGGAATTTTGATGATACATTTGCGAATCTGGGCCCTCGGGAAATCAGATATTCTCTTTTGTGCAGTTAACTAATCTATGTCTATGCTTGTACGGAGTACGGAGTAGTTCATGGTGAAATACAATGCCTATGAGAAATTATGCGGTGTTAGTAATACAGGCCCAGATATAACCTCCACCAGGCGCCCTTCATCCGCGCTGCTTGAAACACCCAACAGGTTTCAGGCAGAAGACCTCGGAAACGGTTGCATTTGAGCTAGGATTAGATCCCGCTCAACTCAAAACCCTCTGGGAGTGTCTAACAATTCTTCCTTTGGGTCAGGCAGAGAATCATCCAAAATTAAAATGACGTTGGGATAGCTCTGTGTCTTTTGTCCTGTCTCTAAAAGAGGACAGCTGTTGATTGGCCGCTCTATATGCAGCATTCCGGGGCGTTGAAGGTAGATAAATATATGCAGATAGGCAGACAGGCAGATGGTCCCTCGATTCCCGAAGAGTATATTCCTGGGACGACAAAATAGCTGATTGCTACTGAACACCGCGTTCGTTAATTATTTATATCTGGCCGTGGATGGGTGTACAGATTGTACAAGTCACTGCATTAGTTATTGTCCTTGCAGCCACGTTCCCCCATGTGACCCAGCAGAAAACCCCTTATTTCATATTTCCTCTTGTTGTGAGTAATAATAACTAAGATACGAGGCACACAGAAGAAAAAAGAAAACAAATGGAAAAAGAACAACCATCTGGCGATCACCAACGTTTATATTCTTGGATTCTTATATTACCTTCAACCCTCGTTCCCATTGCATTCATGAGTACTCCGTACGGAGTATAGTACTAACCTTTAGTAATTAATTAATTATTATCATCCATCTTGTCTTAGCTTCTTCCTCTCTCCCTGGATCCCGCCGGCGCTATGTTATTTAGCTAGCCGTCAATCACGTTACCTGCTCCCTCCTAGGTACTACGCGTTGTTGCTCCTTTCCCTTTTCTGCCTCATCCTCATCTTCACCGTCAACGTCGCCGGTTTCACAATTCCTTCCCCAGCCAACAACCTTCCTCGTCCTAGCAATACCCCCTCGTATCCCTTGTTTTATTTTCTCAATCTATTCTCGTCTCAACCTCTTCTCTACGGACAATCACATCTCGACCTCCATCCACACCACCTCTCTGCATGCGTCCTCTCCCCTAACCTCCATCCCCGCCAGCAATCACATCCCCCGTCCCCCGCGCTACTGACTGACTGGTTGACTGGTTGACTGGCTGGTTGACTGAGTGATTGATTAATTGATCCCTCCTGATCATCCATCATGTCGGACAGTCGGGCCCAGACTGGTGTCCGGAGCCTGCTGGCCCGATTTGAGAACAATAACAATAACCACTCATCAACTTCTCCCCCTTCGAGAGGCCGCTCACCAATCGATCATGACCGCCCCGGCTCCGTCCGCCCTCTCTCTAAGGTTCGAGCAAGCTTCGTGGCCGTCGAACGTGCTGGTCAACCTGGAAGTCCTCCTATGTGGGGGTTGAGAAAGGCAACGGATCTGGACAACAATAATACCAATAACAACAATAGCAGCACCAATAATTCCCCTGGGAAGCTGACCAGAACCATGTCTAGTGGCGTTGATGATGTGGGTAGCCCCATAGAGAGGTCCGTTACTATGTCTTCAGGTGATAGTGCGGATAAGGCTGCTATGATGGGCAGGTCGTTGGCTTCCTCGCCGCCAGATAATAATATGAATAACAATGCCAACAACAACAGCAATGGCGGACTTCTGAGTAGTGGGAATGTCAATAGACCTTGGGCTGCAACATTACCGTCTCGACTTGTGGATTCCCCTACACCCGGCAAACAATCTACCTCGCGAGACGTTTTGACGTCCACTACTACGACAGAAGCGAAGGAATTAGGCAAACCCGAATCAAAGGGTGATTTGCAAAAAGATTCTCCCCGGGCAAAGGAAGGAACACCAATTACCACTGCTCGTATGAACGGAAAATCGTCAGATAAAACTTCGCCCAAGAACTCCAAGGCATCTACAAATTCGTCACGTCCCGCGAAACTTGTTGTCGGGAATGCAGCCAACAACACTATGTCTAAGAATTCTTCAATAAAGAATATGAAATCGCCTCTCCCTCGAACCCCCAGGACACCAACAACTACCATATCTAATCCCGGTCCCAAAACCACACCCAAGGAGACAGACAGATCTAGAGCACCTGCGACAAGACAGCCCACTCGGACTGCGGCAGACAAACCTGTAGGAAAACCCAAGTCATCAGTACCCTCCCGGGACAAGATGAAAAAGTCATCTTCCGAAAATCTTCCCGGAAATAACAGATCCCGCACAAGGTCTCCAACAAAGCCAATCCGCCTCCCAAATTCAATGATAGCACCAACCGCGTCTTCTGCAGCGAAAACAAATCTGGATGGCCGCCCAGCAAGCCAAGCGGGCACACGCACATCAACCCTCACCCGCAGACCCTCGAGTTTGAGAAGTGATCGAAATACCACTTCGTCAAGATCAACTGGTCCAGCAGCATCTGCCACACAAAAAAGGCCCGCCAGAGCATCCTCCCTTGCTCCCCAGCAGAATACGGCCTATGACAGACCCCGGTCACGCGTCAGCAATGTTGGAGCTACCCGGCCCCCTGATGACTCGTTTTTAGCAAGAATGATGCGTCCCACTGCAAGCTCCGCAAGCAAGATGCATGAGAAGGTTGAAATCAAAAGCCCACCTCGGGGTTCTGGTCCACCAAAAGTTCGGAGGAAGAGTGGGGAAAGTGCAAGCAGTAATGTTAGCGCGACTGCGAGAACTCCGCCGTCCTCGAAGAAGAACAGTGTTGCCAACTCTGCGCGCACAGTGTCGTCAAATGGGCATGTAGAACCCCGCAAGGAGCAGGAGCCGGATGGTGCTCAGGCTCAGGCTCAGGCTCAGGCTCAGGCTCAGGCTCAGGCTCGGAGTGAGATCACGGCTGCCTCTGCTGCTGAGGTCGAGATTGCTATTCAGGAACCCCAACCTGGGCCAACTTTGGAACCGGAACCGGAACCGGAACCCGAACCTGAACCCGAACCCGAACCTGAGTCAGAGCCAGAGCCAACAGTTGATGAACCAGAACCGGCTGCAACCGAGCCCATCCCTGAGCCCGAACCCCAGCCCGAACCCACCGTTTCCGAACCATCTATAGCCCCCGAGCCTGTTGTCTCTGAAGCCTCACCTGTACCGGAATCTGAGCCCCGACCTGTTGTTTCTGAACCAACTGGCCCCGAACCTGCTGCAGCTGAACCCGCTGATGATTCCTTGCTAGAGATTGCAGAAGTATCCGTTGTCGAAGAGGATCCCGCCAAAGTTCCGTTGCCCGAACCTACTGAGAAAGTCGAGCTATGATATAGCTACTCCTATGGGAAGAGTGGAGGTGTGTGCTCATTTTAACTTGCATATCCGCCCTTCGACCCCTTCTGGTATTGGTCACGACATCAACAAGAGCAACAAGAACAGCATCATACATCTTACTAAGCGCTATTTTGACTTCATTTCAATTTTGGATTTCGTTTTGGCTACATTTCGATCAATATCAATCATCATCTCCAATATATCTACGTAGTTTTGACTTTTTTTTTTTTTTTGTTGGCCCCGAATTCCGCTCAAAGGATATAAATACCCCTATAAATTGTTTGTTTTATCTTATAGCATGGATGGACATAGCATGCATGCTTGCATTGCTTTACTATCCTTGACTTTGACTAGGCCTTTGCTTGCCTAAACGAAGTACACAATGAGGGGTGATATATTTTTTACTCTTTTTTTCAATCAATACACATTCTTCATATTATGTATCTTTTATTTTGAACGCCTTCTACCTTACTCTATTCTACGTCTTTCACAGTCAGTCAAACTAGCTTTGCTTGTGTGAGTTCATGTGTGTGTGAAAGAAGAGAGGCTATGTGTGGTTTCCTTTTCCACATGTTTCTTCTATCTTTCAAATTTCATTCTCATTCTTCAACCTCTCTGTCTTCCCTCTTGCTCCGGTTTTACTTTTATTTTTCCTTTTTGGTTTATTTTTTTTTTTTTTTTTTTTTTCCCTCTCACTTTTTACATTTCTATTATCTTCTATCTGTTATAGTCATCCTCTTTTGAAATTTTGAAAATTTTCAATGTTGCCCTTATTCTCTTCTCTGCGTTCGCAGCTTCCTTTATTCATTTACTTTTTCCCTTCTATTTCTCAAATATTTTTCTTTTGGTTTATAACCTCCTTTTAATATGTTTGAGTCTGATTCGGATTCTAATTTGATTTGATTTGACTTGAAACACTTCATATTAGCTCAAATGATTATATTCTTCAATAAAATATTACTTTGCGTCAATACACCTGGTTCACGACGCACCAGACACAAGGGCCTCAAGCCAGTCACTTGTGATAATCTCATACCATCGCCGGCTACTGCATCTATCAGGTTTCATTCCTCATAAACTCAAGGCATTCGTCTATGTGCATTTAATCGTTTGAAATTCCAGCTAGCTACTTATCCCTTGTGACAGATTTCAATCTTGACTGAACTTCCCATCTCAAACCTCTCTCTGCCATAAGGTTCATCGCGCTGTGTTGCCTTCATATCTGACCAGAGGGAAAGTCAGACTCAAAGATAGGCTCTCCTGCACCATGCATATTGGCAAGCACAGATTGTCGGAAGTGCCATCGCAGCAGCTCATCCGAGACATGACCATCAGTGTTTGAGTCGCGGCAAAATAGGATCCAATATTCTTCCGTCAATCCCACAGCTACCAGGCCCAAATTCAACAATCTTGTAACCATCCTTTGCTCTGTTAGTATGGCATAATAATAATTTTCAATTCTAAACACTTACATCTGGGTGTATAGAGAATAGATACTGGTCAAAGCGAGTGTGCAGATGTCCTGCCATGAGTGATCAATTCTGTATGGAATTAATTTTAGACGCTCCCACAGCATGATTCATGTTGGTTATCCATCATTCTTAGTTGAGCTGGATCCAGAGACTCTCCTTCTCTAACGGGAACACATGCGCAGCCTCAAACCCAGTCATCCCACTGTGCCCCAAGATTCACCTGTGCGGATACAACACATTTCCCATCTCTGGCACGAGCCCCATCTCGGAATCCATCTCCCGAAGAGACAGAGTGGCTACAGAGTCGAGCAACCCAGGGCTCATCAGTAACTCGAATGGATCCTAGAGGGTATTAATTAGCCCGGGCTTCGACGGCCGTGGCGTTGAGAATTTTTCAGATGTGCTGACAACGCTGTTACATGTATGGAATGATGTACTGTAACTAGTACACCTGTGGAGAAAACATCATAATCTCCCAACACAACGGGGTTGCTTGACTGGCGTGACGGTTCGGCCTGTGGCTCTGTGCTGAATCGTCCACGAGTCCCCCTCATCTACAAGTAAGAGAACATCGTTCAGGATCCAGATGAGGTTTTCTTCCGTGATGGAGCTATTCTGGTAAAAACTTCCGATACTTGCGCCTGTTGAGGCGTCGTGGAAGCGGATATTTCGGTACGCGGCGCGATCTCTTCGCATGTTGCTATACGCTATGCCCTTTGACACAGGATTTGTAGGGGGGAGCATGCCACTAAGAAGGGAGCTGAGAAGGTTGAGCGTTGTAAAGTGATGTTGATGTCAGGTTTTGGTTCTGGAAGTGTCGTTCTTCCAGAAACCGCACTCGGTTGTACACACTACTCCGTACAGGAAGAGCGATGGCCAGAATCATTTGGCCCATCTGTCTCTGTTGAGAGAGGGAAGAAAGGACCTAATAAACAGATAGTATATTACGTACACAAAAGAAAAAGAGGGAGAAAAAAAAAACGACGATGAGAAGAGTGGGACTCGAACCCACGCAGGTTGCCCTACTACGAATCTCGGCAATGCCAAGACCTGAACGTAGCGCCATAACCACTCGGCCATCTTCCCGATACTTGGTTGACGGAGGCACAGCCCGAGGAAATCTTATAAGGCTCAGGTGGCGAGATATCAATGTTTGGAATTAACAACATGTTGCGCTCAATGTGCGCAGAGTGAACTAGGAATTATTCGTTGCATATTTCGTAAATCTAAAGCATGATACATTGTTTAGACCACAACAAGCTTAGAATAAATTTACCCATATGCAGTTACTTGTAATTCATATATACCGGAAAAGTCTAGACCAGCCTTTAATGCATAAATCCAGCTCATGATCATATCACGCATGGTCTACCGGCGATTTCAGACCCGTTAGTTACATGGAGTATAACCTTCCATCAGAAACAAGGAAAAAAAAGGAAGCGGTAGTATCCTGCTGCAAGAATTTCCGGCCATGACAGGGTCATCAGACCCTGTGCAAAATCGCAACAGCTTCAAAGTTGCACACAGTTACCCTATGTATGCCATTCCGCTCTACTCAGGGTTATACTTCAACGCAAATAGACCTCGCTCAATACTATTAAGCACAATAGTCCCGCTCTTGAAATATGGATACACACTCCACGAGCCGACAAACTCAACCTTACCGCCAACACTATCATCCTCGGGATGGCAGTCAAAGAACCCAACCTCCTTAAAGCCCTTGCCTGTCGCGTCCTGGGTAACACTGGAGACATCCACAATGCGCAGGCCAGAACCATAGTTGGACTGATATGCGAGACCGTCGATGACGTACTGGTTATGGTCGATTGACTTGACGGGTGACTGGTAGAAGCCTGTGAACCTCGGTTTGGCGAGGTTGGAAATGTTGACGATGTAAGTGGTGGTGTGGCCTGACTTTCCTGGGTTTGTGCCGTCGGATTCATCAAGCTCGTCGTCCAGGAGTAGGTATTCCATGTCCTCGTCGGCGATCCAGCCTTGGTGGGTGTACGAGGCGCCTTCGTAGGGGGTTGAGGAGATTTGCACGGGGTTGGATTTGTCGGTTACGTCGACGATGGTGAGGGTGTCCTCGTTGTAGTTGAAGCAGATCTGGCGGTCAGTGTATCTCTCGTCTGGGCCATCGTAAATGACACATTGGGCTGGGGTGGTGTGTTAGATGAACGAATTATTTGGTAAACTAGGGAAGAAGAAAAAAATCGAGCGTCGATAGAAATACGTACCGTCATGGACGTATCCATCTTGACTGGCACAGCCAGGAGATGTAGGCCTAGCAGGGTTGGAAACATCAACCATGTACAATCCACCTCTGCATGGGGTGGTTCGTCCCGTGCCGACGGCATAGATCATTTTGGCGTCCTCATGCGCGACGATGTTGTGAGAGCTACCAAAACCTCTGAACCAGGCTGTGAGATCCCTCCTGATGTCGTAGGTTACTGGTCTACCTTTCACCTTAGCCAGCTATATATTTCACCACATGTAAGTATATCTTCAAGCCCTTGGTACACAGATTGGAGAGTTGCTGTTCTTCGTTCCTACCTTCCGCATATCAAAGACTTGCAAGCCATGGCCCGGGGCTTCTGAGCCGATGTAGACGTATCCATCAATGACTTTCATGTCGCGCCATGTGCTTGACTGGGTCTGCGTCGGCAATCGGCCAAGGTATTTAAGCTTACCACCCTTCAGAACCTCGACAAATGCAGTGCCGTCAGTCTGTCCGACCGCAACGAACTCACGACCGTCATCGGCATTCCAACCTGCGCAGTTTGAGGTCAGCAGGCAGCCCCAGGAAATGACTTAAAAAAAAAAAAAAAAAAAAAAAAGGACCAGAATGTAACCTACCCCAAACATCGTTGCCTCGCCGCGTGCGACTTCCCATGTCCTGATGGCTCAGGAAGGATGTCATGTCCACATTCTTGCAGCTGAACTCGCCGGCCTTGCCGTTAACGCAACGCTCCTCTCTCTTGATAGACTTGAATCGACCTTCATCAAAGAATCCTTCCTTGCGTAGCTTCTCCTGAGCAGCGAGCTTCATGTCCATGAGGCGCTGCATCTGCAGCATGTTTTTCTCGGCCTGTAGACTGCCGGCCACTGCCAGGCCGGCCGCCACAAGGGGGGCGAGAAGGGAGAGCTTCATCTTGAGATAGTCAAACCAAGGGCACACTTCGAGAATGGGAATATGTAAGTCAAAGATTGCTCGAACGGATGAAGGTCACTATCGACGGAGGAGTATATCCAACACATCTTGCCAGGCGCGGTGTCCCCTTTATAACTCCCCAGTGAGAACAACATAACAATCATGGTGACCCATGCGCAGCCTTAGCAGCTCCTCAATACTCCTCCCCTATCCCGGACATCCAGAGCTAGGAGGATCGCTTACCATGTGTCGCATGGGTACTCACGGGGAATACTGTACTGTGTATGTCTTCCAAGTGATAAACAGGGATCTCTAGAGCTTGTGTCTAGCAAACTAGGGTGTGATGATCAGAGGCCAGCTGATTCACAGCGGGCGAATTAGACAGTCAAAAACTCAGCAGCCAAGCCGAAGAACGGATTCCTGCCCTGGATTTGGAATCGTGGAAAGAAACATCTTCTGAAAAAGAGGGATTTGATATGCGGAGAAGTCTTGCCCACGGTAGGGTGCCGTGCAATTTCGGGCCCTGGCGGATGGAGGCATATGAAATAGTACAAACTTTCATGTTCCTCCCGACTCCAGCTCTGCCGCGGTGATGCTCGGCTGACGGCTAGTAGAGGACTGTCTGCTGTGTCAGTGGATTTTGGTCCCTGTCTATGAAACATCGATCATCGCCAATTTCGGACTAATCTGGGGGTAAGTCCTGATTGTCACAATTTTGTCAGTCTATGAAATGGAGTCCGTCTTGAACGGCCCTGGCCATATATCCCGTTAAACTTTCCTAGCTTGTTCACCCCAAGGCGATCCTTGGACCATTTGTCCGTTGAGATGGTTAAACGTATCAGGCTTTTTTTCTGGAGATTTTTTTATTTCCTTTTGGCGGAAGAATCTTCATTAGTTAGGGCAAGCTCGCACCGCACGCCCGTGATATCACGGCCAACGTGTAAGCATTAAAGCATTTGGATCCATTTGTCTTCGAAAGAGAAAAACTGCATAAAATCCCAACCATGTTGTGGGTAAAAACAAGGTTTAGCACAGAACGCGGGGAAAATAGCAGAGTAGTATTTGCTCAGGGGGATTTGCGAGCCATCCGCTTCACGATATAGTGAGCCCGGAGGGTGTCGCTATACGCAGCGTAGAATGAGACTAAAAGAACACGCGGCAGGCATTAACTAGTTATCGCGCGCCAAGGCGGCCCGAAGTTGCGCCTCCAAAAGAGCCGCCAAGTCCAGGCTTCAAAACAGGATGTTTTATTAATATTATTGTGTATCCTTGACGGCGGTGATAATGATTGATGCTAAGGGTTGTGAGATCTGCAGGTTAGGCTCTCGCGAAAGCCAAAAATGTTCCCCAGATTATTAGCGGCGCCAGACCCAACGTCCGTCCTTGGGTATTGTCGCTTCTATCACTCTGGAGAAACCTTGTCTGGGAGAACACCTTGGCGATTTAACCGATGGAAACCGTGTCGGAGGAGCTGAGTTTATGCAGACGAGGCGGCCGGTGTGAGTTGACAATTTTGTTGCGACAGGGTCTCCACCATTTCAAAACGCACTTCGAAGGGGTGTAAAGGAACTAGGTATTCTTCAGGCAGTTAATTTTTATCTTCCCCGCACGCTATCCTGCAAGTTATGAAGGCAATATTGCCCAAAGACATACCTAGGTTCGCTGCTTGAAACCTGACAGGTAGTATCCTGGCTTCGCTCAGTGGCTCATTTTAAGGCTGTCGATATGGATCAAGGATTGTGTATCTTTTTCTTTAGCAATGCAACGACAGTCTACCAAGTTCCCCAAAATAAATAGAATGCCGAGCTTGGGAACGAAAGAAACCTGGCGAATCGACGGTGGGTAGGGATGAAAAGTAAAATGAACAGGATTTGCACTATGCGGAGACGAGAGAAAAAGATTCCGAATAGCAACAATGAACGTGCCGTATACAGAGTACGCGGAATCGAAATGGTGCAAGATTGATTACCTTCGAGTGATGGGCAAATGTTAGATACAAAAATGACAAAGGTCATCTAACTACCCCAGAATTTCTATCGCGATGGCGGGTATCCCCACAATGGACCGCACTCGATGTGACACCGCGAGTGTTTTTGCTTGCTTGCATCTATACATCCTGCTTTCCCTTCCCTTAGCGACGGTACTCTTTACCATCCAGATTGAACCGCCCATGTGGCCTTGTGCGGAAGCTGTCAAATCCATCCCCAGCGGTGCATAACTGTCAGCATCGCTGACCATCCGACGGAAAACCACGGATGAGGTCGGGGACACAGAATTCCAAGCATAGGAAACCTATAGACTGTCGTCCATCCTTGAAGCGGTCAGGGCCATCCATGGCAAATTCAGGCTCGTTGGATCGCAGGGGGCTTCGCATGCTAGGTCGGGAAGCCTGTTATTGCTGGATGCCTTAGGATGTCCCTACGCAGAATGATATAGTACTAATATCCGAGAGGGGAGCTGCATCACCCTGGCTAGCAGTGAAGTATATGGATTGGGAGAGCGTCCCGTGGGTATTTTATCTATCCAGCATCAAAGTGACGCCCTTTTTGACGTAATTTGGTAGGTCAATGAGTCTTGAAACTGTGACACACACATCTTCTAGTTCGAGCGGGATTCCCGAGAAGATTCGTCTTTGACTGAACGGCCCATCCATGCCTTAATGAAGGCAGGGCCTTATTCAATCAATCAATTCAGATTATCCTAGGTTTGACCAAACTGAATATATATATATATATATATATATATTATTTTTTTTATTTTTTTTGGTTCTCCTGGGACGCTCGGTGAGCAGCGAGTGAAAAATGTTGTTGATATTCAATTGGAAAAAATACTAAATATTGAAAAACAGATATCCAAAAAGGGCAAAAGTGGAAGCAAAGCAACGAAAAACACTGAAGTCATGCGGGTTTAACGCATATATTCTCATTCTAATTCGTGAGCTCATGCCGAAAACAAACATATGGGAACAAATATACCAAAATATAAGTAAATAATAACAAAACGCTTCATACAAATTACCAATTATCCGTCAGGCAAAAGGTGGTTCATCAGCAGTGGCGATATAGGGGTAGTGTATATCAGAGTTGAGCGCCAAAAGAGGAAAGATTCAATTCATAGTAAGCAGCTAAGTTAGCACGCTGTGGAACGTTTGCGGGGTTAAATTGGGAAGCGGAAGGTAATCCAGAGCAAACTGCTACGTCCTCCCAGGTCCTTTCTATTTAGAGAAGTGGAGGGCGCTCTAGAGTTTGTCAAGTTTCTTCAGAAACTTGCCAACACCTTTCCCAATCCCCGATGTCGACTGTCGCTGATTCTGTTTGACATATTTTGCATTGCCTTCAGCTTCCGTTGGCCGATAGACCTGGTGATGAATGTCATAGGAATTCCCTCCAGGTGGCGGTTGCTGTGGCTGGCCGTAAGAATAGTTCGCGTATCCACCAATTGGTGGCTGGGCAGACTGCGGGACATAGCCACCCTGGTAATGTTGATGTGTTGGGTTGTGAGGTGATACAGGTGGCGGACCAAAACTCTGCTGTCTGAATAAGTGCGCATTTGGGTCCTGCGGCGGTGGCGTATATGGCACTGCGCCTGGAGCTGCTGGTGGTACCTGTGCAGCGGTAGGAGGAGGAGCAAACGACATGCTGCCAGGATGGTTGTGGTTGTGTCCTGAAGAACGGGAGGAGATAGAGGACGTGTGGGCTAAACCGGCTGTTGGAGGCGGCGATGCATATTGTCCACCATATCCCGGGGCCTGGGTGGGTGGGGGAGGGGGAAATCCAGGAGACATTGGAGGAGGAGCGAATGCCTGACCATGATCTGATACGGCGGCAGCGGCAAGCCCAGTTCCAGCTGCTCCATCAGACGGTGGAGGCGTTTTCTCGCGCGGCTTAATGGGCTCTGGCGCGGCTGGCGCAGAAGGATTGTACGCAAGAGGAGTATAGTTGATCTGTGCTTCCTCTTGCTTGGAGGCGGGCGGGGCTTCTAAGGGACTAACTGGTTCTGATGGCGTTGGCTGAGTAGGTGGAGGCGCAAATTGTTGAGGAGCCAGCTGTGGCTGAGGCTGTTGTATTGGGGCAGGCTCAGTCTGAGAGTTTCTCGTCAGACCATTGTGGTAAGCTGGGTCGGTTATCGCTACATTTTCTAGCTTCTGGACTACGGAGCTGATTGCAACCTCGTGCGCCTGGGGTTGTTGAGGGGCTGGCATAACATCGAGCTGCGTAGGAGCCAATAATTTACGAGCATTTTCAAAAAATAGAGCGGCATCATTCGACGTCCAGAAATAGAGATCTAGGGTATGGAGTCGAAGAAATGACCTGCCTCCATCGCGAGGGTCAACGTTGAGCAGGAGCCACTCGTTTTGGCCAATGCTCGTAGGTGTTGGTGGCCCGGATGTATTCTGTCGATGAGCATGTACAGTCAAGGTGCAGAGAGTAGGGAATTTATCCGAATTGCGCAGATGAACAGTTCCCAGAGCTAAGATACCCCCGCGCTCGTCAGCATAGGGGGATTCGACTATGGACACTTAAATCTTGACATACATCCACAGAAAGCATCCTGCTCGGGCAATCCTGGGTGATTCGCGATCTCGATTCTCGCCTTGTTCTGGACGGCATCATGATAAATGTACAGGTAGGAACCTTTGTCGAAGCGGTGGTGCAAGGGCCGCGGTGTAGGAGCCGAGAAGTAGTAGTGGACGTCAACAAAGCTGGTATCTTGTCAGTCACATATGTTCTCTATGGGATGTAGGCACTATCTTACACCGTGAGCAAGCACACTTCGCTTGGGAGAGGAGGCATCTTGTGCGACAAGCTCGTATGAGATTACGAGACAGCGGACAGAACAAGCGAAAAAGGAGGGTGGGGAGAGACGAAACAATAGAACAAGATGCGAGGCAGACAATGAGGGCTACTGGTTTATATTGAGGGCATGCCAGATGGGCGAAGAACAGTTAATCGCCGCCATGGTGACTCTGCTGGCTGCTGCGGGTGCTGTTGCTGCAGCTGAGCCCCGCGCTTAGGCAGGACTGAAGCTGACCACTCACGGCGAGGAGCAGGGAGGAAGTCGCGAATTGCCTAATCCAGACATTGCGTGCCAAGCAAACCAACGCCGCCAGCGAAACCAATCACGTGACTCAGACATCGCAAATTTATTTGGCGGAAGTTTGTATGTAAACTCACTGCATTGACGGAGCTGGCAGACTGATATTCAACGAGGAGGTTAGGAAGATCACCACCCGCTCGACCAAATTTATGCATGTTTCTACCAGTGAGTATCTCATTGAAGCCAATTGCATCTTCTACCCCTGCCTCTGCCTATCACTATCCATGGGTATAACTTACCAACCTCCCCTCAGCCAAACTTGCAACAAAATAGAAAAAGAGGCTATCCTCCAAGCTCCCAGCCCAACCAAAGAAAGGACTACGCAAACCAAATTCGAGGCGATAGCCTCCTCTCCTCTCCTCCCTCCGCCATACGCCTATAAGCAAACGAATAAGAAGGAAAATAAAACTTGAAACATCGTCCATCACAATGTCCCTCGTCAACCTCGCCAACGTCTGCTCCTCCATCACAAACGCCTCCAAGGCCCGCCTGGCCATAACCTCCATCTCAAACACAAAGCTCCACCTCCGCCTCGCCCTCGCCCTCCGCGATGCCGGCTTCATCTCCACCGTCGTGCTAGCCGGCCTCAACCCACCCCCGCAACACGTCCTCCTCAAGATCCCTGCCGCCAACGACGAAATCGAGCCCATCGAGCCCGTGACGAGGGAAAACGTCGCCTCGCGCCGCCTCTGGCTGGGGCTGAAATACTGGCAGAGCGAACCGGTCATTACCAAGATGTCGATGGTGAGCAAGCCCACGCGCCGGCTGACGCTGGATGTGCCCATGTTGAGAGATATTGTGCGCGGCCATAAGCGGAAGACAGTAGAGGGGTTGAGGTCGCCGGGGGAGTGTTTGTTTTTGTCGACTAATCAGGGGATTTTGGAGGCGAGGGAGTGTGTGGAGAAGATGACTGGAGGCATGGTGTTATGTAGAGTTGTTTGAGCGGAGGTTTTTGTGGTGGTCTTTTTTTATTTTCCCCGCCCTCCTCTGTTTCCTTTCTTTTTTGGTTTTTGGCCGCATTTGGAATGGAGTTTGCACGTTTATCTGGTCTTTTACAGCAAGGCAGTACACGGCATTGGACTCGAGTTTTTGGAGGACCAGTGTCTGCGACATTTCTGTGTGTGTATGTATATTGTATATTATCGATGGATAAAATCCCCCCCGTCTCTCTATTTTGATTTTGATAGATGGTCAAGACCATTCTGTATAAAACTGGGGCTTTTAGACTCTACCATGTCTTCGATTTTTTTCTACTTTCACAATGCAATGTCGACGAAATGGCGTGCAATGAGCAATGATGTGCCTAAGGTAATTTTTTTCCCGCGACGATGCAGCCAATCTGTGAACCTCTCCACTGCCAAAAAAAAAAAAAAAAAAAAAAAAAAAAAAAAAAAAAAAAAAAGATCTCAACTTCATTGCGACTCAAAAATATATTCCAAGAAGAAAAGAGAGAGGAAAAAAAAGAAATCGAAACACCAGGGTCTTGCCGCGACTCGAACGCGGGGCCTCTCGCATATACATATAGTATGTCAGTGATGACTCAGGGTGAACCCTAAGCGAGAATCATACCACTAGACCACAAGACCTGAGTTGTCATGACTACGACTGCGGTTAAAATTCCTAAGTACGATTGGGCCATATTTTTGGCGGTTTGGATGGAGCGGTTTGGACTTTGGTTCCCTGGTTTTTTTTTTCTTTGAGTTGATGGGATCGGGAGATACATGTGTTCAAGGACTTCTCTTTTTGTTGTAGTGTCCTGGGCGAGGTATATATTGTTCCGGTGTTGTTGTTAGAGGAGGGCCACTGCGAATGCGGAATATATATTCATGATGAACATCTACTCTAAGATCATAGGCAGGTTGAACAATCCCACCTTCTCCTCAAGCAACAAATATCAAGTTCATTACGAATCATAAGAGTTTTTTCATTGATCCCATCATTTTTTAATCATAAGTTTGATTCATGGATTGACGCTATATACGCAGAAACAGAATAACAGAATAACAGGAGTGAGAGAGGGATATAATAAAACGTAATTAACAAGATGGAAATACACAAACAACCAAGGAAACAATAACAATAATAGTCAAGGGAAAAAAAAAAAAAAAAAAAAAAAAAAAAAAGGCTACCAAATACCGGAGAAGAGACGTTAAGGGAGGACGGCTAGTAAAAGAGAGGAGAATTGTAGATATTTCTCATATACCCCACCCGAAACCCGTCTCGATTCGCGAGGCCGGGTATCTGTAACTCGGGTTTGGCTAGACAAGTGGAATGGGAGGGGACATGCGACGTGTGAGATCTGGGCGGAACAGGAACGAGATATGCGCGGCAAAAGGGAGCGAGAAGGAGAAGGAGAAGCGAGGCTTGTGGGCGGCCTATTTCCTGAATTTACCAGCCCAGCCCACCCCGCCCCTCAGGTTTCCCTCCTGTCGTCCACCTCCCTCTTTCCCCCTTTGATATCCCGTCCATTTTTTGATCATTCATTGCCCAACAACCGGCAGCCGACGGCAATCGTTGCTTTTTCTCCGCCGGCGTAGTGTTCCAAGGAAGCGAAGGTGAGTAAATGTTGGTCGGTCGGTCGGTCGGTCGGTCGGTCGACTTTTAGGCGTTGTTCATGTCGGAGTGCTCTTCCCCTTGTGTCTCCCGTTTCCACTTCTGGCCCTTCTTCTCCGCAGGTTTGCATTGGTATATATAACCACATCTGTGTCGTTGCACGAGATAGGGATATCATGCCACCAAACCATGCCCATATACACATGTATGTATATGCAAGGAAACTCCTCACCATCAGCCTACGAATATATTTTCCACCACCGTCTCCTCCCCTAAACCAACAACCGAAAAAAAAAAAAAAATAATAAAAAAAAAATAAAAATAAAAAACGAACTCCCTTCCTGAAAAGAAAATGACAAAGAATAAAAAAACACCAGCACCATAACCAAAAAACTCAACGCCTCCTCTCAAAATACCCACTCGACCCCAACACCGCAACGCTCTGATCCATCACCCATTCGCCAATCCCCAAGTAACTTTCCAACCACTTAGTCACCTGCGGGTTATCCGATATCTTTTGCGAATTGAGGCTGGGGCTGAGAAAATGGGGTTGATCCGGCGACCCCACTTGACCCAACGACACGGACGCAGGGGGGATGTGATAGGCGGTTACAGTTGCGGTTTTGGTATGGTACGCAAGGGGCTCGGAAAAAGCTGGTCCTCCTCGTTTTCGGTGGGATGGGGTCTGTGTAATTCTTGTGGTTGCCGTATTGTGGGATAGGGAGGTGTAGTAGAGGCGGGTTAAACGAGGAGGAGGAGGAGGAGGAGGAGGAGGAGCAGTTCCTGTTTACTTGTGTCCCATACCGCTACCGCAACATTCCGGTCCATCATTCCCCTCCCGTCGTCGCGCGTGGAAGTGGGGGGGAGAGGTGAGTGCATGTTAGCTTGTGTTTCCTTTTCACGTGCATGTGTGGAAGATTTATGATGGGGGAAGAAGTGGGAGGGGAAGGAGTTTTTGCCGATAGATAAATAGCAGATTAAAAAATAGGAGGGGGCAATGATATTTACGTTAGCCCTGTTGACCGCTTGATGCCAGCTAGAAATGCGGAGACTGTTTTTTGGGGCA